AAGACCAGAGATCCCATCTTCATGCAGCCTAACTAAATTTGGAAGTAGATTGTCAGCTAATTGGGTACAACATGAATTGAAAGCCGGTTAACCAATCATGAGGATGATAAATTTTTTGTAACCAGGTGGTGTTGAACCCTAAACCTTCTCCTGGTAATCTATGGCCATAGATCTATTGAATTTTCTTTTTTAAATTTAATAATAATATTATTAACACATATATTTCAAATTTTAAAAATAATTTGACTAAAGAATTTTTTATTAGACTTTTTAAAAATAAAATCTTAATACAATGGCACCTATCTATTTGCATAAAGTTGGGACTATAGTAAAATTTTTATAAAAATATATATTTAGACAGGTTATACATATATACATCAGATTTTTATAAGAGTTTTATAAGTTGGAACTGAGCAAGAAATATGTATTTATATGTTTTTTACATAGAATATGTAAATAAACAATATGCAAATAAACAGGTCCACTGTATAGTAATTTTTATAAAAATTATAGATTGTATTAAACTAATATAGATTTTAAACTAATATAATCTCTTTTTGGTATATTAGATAATATATTGAATTTCAATATATTAATTTTTGCATTAGGAAATAAGGCTTTGCAAGTTGAATTTTTTAAAAAATTATTATTTAAATAATAAAAATTTTGAAAATTCTGTTTTATTTAAAAATTATAGCAAAATAAATTATTTATTAATTTTTCTTGATAGTTATTAATTAAATAATAAAAATATAATAATTAATTAAATTTATACTAAAAAATAGTTTAACATAAAGATAGATATATTGTATTAAAATATAAAAAAAATATTATTTATTCATTAATATGTTAATGGATTAAAAAAAATTAATTAATTAAACAAAATATACCAACTTAATAAAGGGTTTAAAATAAAATCAAATTAAGCGCAGTCTTTGTTAAATTAAATTAATACTCTAGTTAAAACAAACACTAGTTTATTATTTACAATACATTCAAAATGCGGCACATGACAGTAAGTCATTCAGACAACTTAAAGTCCTACTAATATTGCATGTCTAATTTCATTGGACGGTTGGCTATTTAATATCGTTGAATTCTGATAGTCCATTTCTAAAACAAATTTGATTTGATTCCACTTGACAAATATTTTAAGGTACAAAATTTATCTATTTCTGCCACCATTTTTTGTTTTCTGGATTCTTTTTTTCCTCTGATTTTAATTTTTTCTCTAATAAATATTTTTGCCATTCCTCTTGTAAGATTCTCAATTCATCCTGCTCAGAATCACTCAATTCATCTTGTTTGGTATCTTTTATTGAATCGCGTGAGGAAGGAACATAACGTGGAATTATACCCTTCATTTTTTCATGAAACTCCCGAATCTAATTGAAATGTTTATATTACAATATACAAATGTTAATTAAAAAGTGTGATAACTTAAAAGGGTGTTATTAGGAAGCAACTTACATTACTAACTCCAAGTAAAGTACCAATGCCAATCGCGCATAAACCACCAACCGAAATGCAAAGAATGGTACCAACCGTAAAAGCCTGTAGGGAATACAATGTCGCCTGCCTATATTTAGTGACTTTTTCTACATGAGTTAATGGAATCGACGTTGAGGGAGAAAATTCTTCAGACAAAGATTTAACTAGAATTATAATAATAGAGGATTATCTCACCCGAACACTTATTTTGGTTTTAAACGACGAATTCAACGTGATTTACCTTTATGTTTGGTATACCATAGGGAACCGATTACTCCTGAAATGAAAGATGAAGCAGATAATCCGAGTATAAAATTTCTTTCGTGAGTTTGCATTTGAACTATTTAATTCGGGATCGTAAATTGGATAACGTTTATATATCAATCAATCTTTCGTGACACGTGAAAAATGTGGAACTATGATTTATGCAATATGGTGAATCTCGCTTGGTAAGTGAATCTCAGATTATCATGTTAAATTTATTACTTTGTGATTTTACCACCAAAGAAATCGCTGATTCAAAAATGATTTTATGCTAATAAATATGGAGTTTAATCTTTTAAATAAGATATAAAAACATGCAAATTTATTGATTTCAATTCTTAATTAGTTAAGATTTATTTATTAGTCATGGGACATTTCCCTTAATCAAGACTCAAAATGTTATTTTTATAATACAATTTATATTGTGTGTAACAACAACGGGAGGGAAATGTCCCTTAACTGTTATAGAATATAAAAATTTTTTTTTACTTTAAAATTATTTGTAATCGCTTTAGATTATTATACAGTATTATGAATTAGAATATAATATATTCAAATTATTTATTTATTTTAAAATAAACTTTTTATTAGGATTTTTATTTAAAATTAGTTTTTAAATTATCAATTTAAAAAAATATATTAATAATTTTACAAATTTTATTTATTATTTAATTATTATAATGTCCAAGCATTGCAAAGGACATTTGAAAATGGATAAGCAAGGTAAGTAAAATGAAGATCATATGACTTGGCCTGTTTTATTTGGTTTCAGCTAACATGTGACACAGAATAATTACATTATTGCTTAATATATTACAAACGAACAATTCTAATCTATTGTAGTATATATATGTACACGATATGATTATTTCTACCTAGGCCATTAGTTCTTGAGATCTTGTTTAACCTATAAGTATAGTCGAGATAATGGTAATGCAATGTATTTGGAACTTCCAAAATCAAAATCAAATACTAGTTGTGCTTTCTTTAGCTTTGTGTATTATAGATAGAGTAAATGGTGAAAAATGTTGATCTTTGTTTTACTTACCTCACTTATTCATTTTCAAATATCCTTTGCAATGCTTGGCTATTATAATAAATGAATCTCACTTAGTAAGTAAAACTCAGATCATATAACTCCTGCAGAGAATTCCTCCTTATTGGCCATGTTGATAATTTTATTATGACGAAGTTCTTCTTCAACATTGAGATAATTCCTCTTTGATAAAATCTTTAATAGACTGAATAGCTAAGCTAATTATTCATTGCGAAAATAATAAACAAGTCTGTTTAATGAACCTAGTGGAAGTTTAAAATGAAACTTAGATCTTAATATTTTGATTAAAAACCAGATATTTTTTAGAGTCCTAAGTATAGAATTCTGCTAACAATCTAATGTATTTGATCTTTAACTTGGAAGACAATATGACAAGGATTTCCTTAATCTAATATGCGATAGTGTCTGTAATGGCAAATAAGTAATCTCTTGTTGAAATAAAAAAGAGAGAGAAGAATCCATGACTTATCAATACTTTGTTCTCGATAAGAGAACTTGGAAAACATCTAGTAGGAAGATTTCTGATAGATCTTCTTAGTGACCTATGTATATGCTCTTCTTTCTCAGTTTTGTGTCCTCATGTAACAAAGAAATATTGTACTTCTTGAAATTTATAATGTTTAAGATCATACCATAGTCTGTAAGTCTCATAAAGAATATATCAATCCAGGCTAGGTCTGAAAGGCAGCTAGTGGTGATAATAATAAATAAAAAAATCATTTTTTGTAACAATCGCAATACTGACATGCTCTTGTTACTTCTGAATGCTCATATCTTATTGAATAATAGGGTCAAATCAATCATCTCGTCAGTAAAAGGTGTTGATGGATTCTTCTTGAATATGGTCTTTATTGTTCTGGATATATCAGGGTATAAACTGATTGAAAGATTGTTCATCCATTTGTACACTTCACTGATGGCTGATCTGTAACCTGCAATAGTATTGTAAGCCATCCCTGCTTTCAATTGATCATTGAGAAACTCGATTATTCATTCGATAAAACAGATAATAAAATTAAGGTTCCTTCTACTACATCAATTGATTCATCTCTTAATATTAAACGAAACTGTCCTAGAGGTCTTTTTGTCATTTGCTAATAGATAGAAATCGATACCTTTTTCTGAAAACCTCTTGAATAATAGCTTACACCTGATATAAGCATTGTACAAATTCTTTATTTTCTTATTCTCACGAATTGTGCGATATTTCTTATTAAAACTGTTGTGTCAGATGGCAGAAAAATCAGAGGAGCTATCATTATAAAGAGTAAAAAAAGAAACCATGGTGCTAAGGGCCAAAGGGTAAAAACTAGAACTATTTTTATTTTTTTTTTCTAACCTTCTCTAGCATCTTCAGGAGGAGAATTCATGACAAATTTATTCAATATCTCCAACCCTTCCATGATATCAAGAAAGTATTTATGGCTCATACCCTAGGATTCTTCTTCCATAACACAAATTTCATTGTATTATTTTATTTGCTTGCGAATAGATTTATATTGTGTCAACTGTATATTATTTGAATTGTCTTAAATACCAGTGACAATACTAACTATTTGTGTCTGTCCTCACCTGCTCTTGAGACTTGATCTGTCTGAAGATTAGATAATCCAAAAATGTGTTTTGCTGTAAGTATAATCTCTCGTAAAAGGCATATTTTTTAGATTTCCTTTGCTAACAAACTTATTTTTTGGGATATGATTCCTCTCTGATTGTTTAGGTAAGTCACTGTTATCATATTGTCACTTCTTATTAAAATTGATGTCTTGTTTAGGATCTTCCAAGCTAAAAGAATCTTTTTTACTGCTGTTAACTCTAGGAAGTTTATATAGTTGTTGACAAGATCCTGGCTTTATCTTCCATAAACAGACTGATTATTTAGAACAGTATTACAATTTGTCTTGAAAATGTCCATATATATGATTGTTATGGAGTTTTCCCAGATTAAACTTCTTTCATTCCATGTTTTTAATTTCTTCACCTATCTCGTAAACTGCAGCTTGCTTTTCTCAGACAGTAATAAAATTGCCTGCTATCCATTCTTCCGAATGGCTTAATTTTTGTCTCTTAACAAGGTGCAGGAAAAAAGTCTTGCCGAAAATATCATGTTAAATGTTGCATTTAATTTTTCCAGTACTGCAGCTAGCTTGTATATGTGTATCATGTTCTTTTTGATCAAAGCTTGACATTCCCTTATTATGTCTTTGATCTTTTTGATTATATTGATATTAATAGGTTCCGTAAGTCTATATTGAAACCAAGAAACTCTATTATTGTTGTCGATTTTATGATTAACTTCTTCTTGTTGATGACGAATCCTGTTTTTTTAAGGAGTCCACAGACCTGACACATATGTTCTCGTATTTCCTTCTTTGTGCTGACTACAATGAGAATGTCATTTAGGTAAACAACTAGCCTGATTTCTTTTGTTCTCAGTGCCTTTATCACTGGCCTGAGGACTTTGATGAAAATCTGTGGACTTGTAATAAGACCAAAGGATAAGGCCTCAAATGCATAATGTGAATCTTAAAAGTCAAATATAAAGAATTTGTAAACTTTTGGAGAAAAAGATATATGATAAAACATGCTCTTTATATTTATCTTTATAAAATAATCTTCTCTCTTTATCAATAAATTTTTTAATAAGATGTTTTCCATTTTGAAATGTTTGTGGGTGATGAACAAGTTTAATCTTCTTAGGTCAACCACAGGATGAAATTCTCTTGATTTTTTTGAAGTTAAAAAGATTCTTAAAGTAAAGCAAGATGTATCTGAAGAAAAGGAGTAATTACTTTTTGTTTGCATATGGAGCAAATTTCTTTCTCCAAAGTGACTGTTTCTTTGGTTTTGTATACTATTCTTAAGATAAATTAAATCTCTAGAGAGGAAGCCCTTGCCTATATAGGCAAGTATTCATTCTTCAAGAGATTTGTAACCTATGGCTCATCGAATATCTCCGATCAGGTCTAATAGAAGTTCTTGAGTTTTGTACCAATCCTGTTCCTTATTGGTTGTATTGTCATAACTGGAGCTGAGAGTTGGATTGCTAAAAATCTTGATTCTTTTACTATGAACTAGAACCTTTATGATAGCCCTTGTTTTATTTGTTTTTATAATATTGGGGCTTTGGTTTAAAACTCTTTTTCAAGTTTTGTGCTTATTGCTTCTGCCATAAGGTGTCATTAAAAAATTTATTGATCTTATTTTTCTTTACGATAATATGCTTGAGCTTGTTACTGAAAAAAATGTTATTTTCAGGCTTGGGCTGATGGTTCAAATTAATATATCTGATCACCTGGTCACATTTCTGCTTACTGATATAGAATAAGGAGTTGAAAAGTAATGATCTAGATGCAAGGAGAGTTAATTCTATCTTGCTTCAGGTAGTCGAGACTTTATGATTGTTCTAAGAAGACTGACATTCGTAAAGAGTTTTAATAGCAATATCAAGGGGCCTAAGGATAGCAGAAGTATGATAAAAAATCTTTAACAGAATTCTATCAATCTTCTTTGCTAGCTTGGATATTCTTATAACTAGTTTCTTGTCCATAGATAATAGGAAGAATCTAACAAACTTGTTTTTTGAATATAATTGCAAGAGCTTTTGTATTTTTTCTGCTAGCATAATCGCTTGATTAAAAATCTTTGTTAAGAGATTTTTTATTTCTCTAATAGGTGTAAATATATAGGCATTCAGTTTTTTCTTTGGAGAGTATACATTATTTTCAAGATTGTCGACATTCTTTTGATTTTGTTCTGATGTTATGTATGTCTTCTTACTTTTAGATATTGCTAAAGTTGCAGACTACAATCAAAATAAAACAGCCTATATAGAAATGATTATATCATATATATATATATATTACAATAGATTATAATTGTTCGTTTGTGATATATTAAGCAATGATGTAATTATTATGTACCACATGTTGGCTAAAACCAAATAAAACAGGCCAAGTCATATAATCTGAATTTTACTTACCAAGCAAGATTCATTTTAAATTTTTATATGCT